GGAAAAAAATTGTATACATATTTTATTTGGTTCCATAATCATTTGCCATTTCTAGTGTAGGTTTAGTAGCCCTTATCTGGATTTCTGGATTGACTGGAACTAGAATTTGTTTTTTTAAAGTGTTTCTGATTTGAGATTTATTTTTAACTTTGGAATATCTGTAGACGCTTACCAGCTGAGCATCTCTAGTCCAAAAATCCCAAATCTAAAATGCTCCAAAATCATTCAGAAATTTTTGACTGCTATGTTAGCACTCAAAAATTGGAGGGTTTGGAGCATTTCATATTTTGGAATTTTTTTTTTTTTATCAGGAATACTCAACCTATGTGTCTAAAGTCATACTATATAATTTTATTTCTAAAAAATTATAGACAATGACCATTGATACTGTAATATTTATGGAAAAATATACTGTAACAGTGAGAATATTATATTGCCTATTCTTGTTTGCTAGGGCTACCATAACAATAGGCTTAGTGACTTAAACAATATAAATTTATTTTATCAGGGTTCTAAAGACTAAAAGACCAAGATTAAGGTGTCAGTAAGTCTGGTTTCTGGTAGATGGCTACCTTTCAGCTGTTTCCTCACATATAGTCTTTTTTCTTTTATATGAAGGACCCTAGTGTCTCTGTGCCCAAATTTCTTCTTATAACAACACTAATTAGATTCAATTAGTACTCTAACAGCCTTATTTTAATTTAATTTCCTCTTTATAGGTCCTCATCTTCCAAATACAGTCATATTCCAAGATGCTAGGGATTCCAGTTTCAAGACAGTTTTTGGGTCACACTATTCAGCCCATAAAACTGCTGATTTAGCATACCAAAGCAGTGGGGAAAATGATATTAATGCATACATTTCAATATCTGACTTGATAGAGAGTAGGTGCTTAACAATTTACTAACTGCATGATTTTAAAAATGTGTTAAACAACATAATAATAATTCTAAGCAAAATAAAAATAATCCTAATGTAAATCCAAAGTAAAAATAATCCTAAGCATAAAAAACTCAGTCACGGGGCTAGGGTTATGGCTCAGCAGTATAGCGCCTGCCTAGTATTTGTGACCCCCTAGGTTTGATTCTCAGCACCACATACAAATAAGAAAAAAAAAAAAAATCAATAACTAATAAAAATAGTTAAAAAACTCAACACAGCATTTGTTAGAACAATGCATATGCTGAGCATAACATCAGACATCAGACTCCCTAAACTAACCTCATTTATTTGTCTTTCATTCAACAATCTCTACTTTAAGTTTTCCCTAATACTTTAACCTCTTTTTTTTTTTTTTTTTTTTTTTTTAAGGAGTAGGGAGGGCTTGATGATAATTATTTTGGTGAAAAGGTAAGTGAGCTAGAATATGAGAAGCTACAAGTATTCTATTTACTTGTATTCTGTTTGGCTACAGACCAGATACTAGAATAGGAAACATAATATTTTCACCGTTAAATTAAGATATATATTTTTCCATAAATATTACACAGTGTCAATTTTTTTGTTCTATTATCTCCAACAGAAGTAAAAAATATACTAATCACCTTCAAATTTTCAGAGTAAACTGATCTGGGCTTGCTCAGGTCAACAGGAATGAATTAGTACTATTCTGTGCATAAGCAGGTGGTAAAGAAGAATGAAAATAAATGACATATTAGAGATGATGAAGAATCAGACAAGATGGGGAGTAAAATTGACTGAATTATATTGTTATATTGTGTGCTAGTACAAATATGCAACAATAAATCCTACTATTATGTATAATTATAATGCACCAATAGAAAAAATTATCAAAGCAAAATTTAAAAAAAGAATCAGAGAAAAATATCACAAAGGTTCAAAGGTTTCCTGGAAGATATGACACTTATTCAAATTGTACTTTGAGAGCTTGGTAGCTGCTCAAGTAATGCAAAAAGGCAAATAAACCACTATGAGGAAAGACACACTGATATTTAAACCAATAGTGAATGTTACAGAAGTAAAAATAGCCTCGTATTGACAGAATTTAAAAAAACATGTGAAGGGGAATGCAATAAGATGAATAAGAACTGGGAAGAAGCTGGATCATTCCATTTTATAAAGAATCTTAAATCATAGAGAGCACAAAATTTGTGAATGGCAGAACCAGGATTTGCATCCAATCTTAACATTTCACTTAGCAAAGTGACCACATTCCCTACTTTTTGTAGGTCATACCTGGTTTATAACTATTGTCTTTATGTCATTATTAATACAGCCTTCTATCATCTCTATAAATGCTCCTCTGGGAAATATCTTTACCCTACCTCTTCGGTAACTATGACATATTTTTCTTTGCCCAAGAAAAATGGGGTTTCCTTAACTCCTCTCATTATAGTGGAATTAATTGCTGACAGAGACTATATTGATAAAAATAAGAGAACATTTGAAAGGACTACCATTGTCTTAACAAATAATCTAACATATACTAGAGTTAAACTGTCTTTTATTTTTTAAAAAAGTCATTATTTAAACACACACACACACACACATATACACACAAAGATGACAGAGACAACAAACAGGAAAATGGATCATTCTTCTAACTTTAATATGATTCAAAGAAACTATGGACTCAGAACACTTCAGTTACACCATGACCATAAACTAAAACTGCTTATGGAAAGGTAGTTGAATTCTAGTCACCCTTGGCCAAAACATGTCATTTTTGTTTGCTCAAGTTCTGAAGCACACACTCTCGTATTCTGTCCTTCAAAAAATTAATATTTACCCTACTGAAAAGAAGCTGCAACAAATTGCTTATTCTTCCTCATTCTCATGTTTTTTGGCATTCAGGTATTTGCTTTTACTGGCTAGGACACAGGCAAATGATTGGGCCCAGTGATGTCCCCTAAGGGGAAGTAGGCAGTATCAGTGGGCTGTCTGGGAAAGGTTTCCTTCCTTGATAAACACAAAATATGGAGAAGATGTTTTCTATTTTGCCCTGATTCATTTTTAATTTTTTCTCTGGACGTGGATGTTTAAAAGCGAATTGTACCAATCATCCTGTGACCAACAGGAAACAAGGCTAAGTCCCTATCCGGTAAATTAAGGGGGAAAAAAAAACCACCCAGGAAAACCTTAAGTCCTCACTGACATCACTGAAGAGTTTAATAAACTTAAAAGCCCATCCTCTAAATGCATGATCCTATACAACAAATGTTCTTACTGTTCAGGTCAAATAAAATTGGGTATTCTTTTACTTGCAACTAAGAGCATACCAACTGACCTGATAGGTCTAGCAAGGAAATCACTCAGGGCAACTATTATGACCTTCTCAAACTCAGAAACATGAATTTAAAAAGGAAGCACAAGGATTAAACATCTGAAGAAAGAGGGTGAATTTTCTTTTCCCAGAGATAACACATAGTATTTTCCTATGTGACAGATATTATATTTGCTTGATTACCTCATATAAGTTTCAAAACAATCCCAGGAAATATTAATTCCATTTTATAGAGAAAAAAACTGTAGCTTAGAAAAGTTAAACAATCTGCCAAGGTCACATTCCTCCATAGTGGTTGAAGAAGCATTTATAATCCATATCAACTTACTTAAACCTAAGTGCCTAAATTTTGAGTTTAGTAGAAGATAAATGGCTCAATTATCTATTATTTTTCTATGAAGAAGAGATTTAAGTTTTCTGGTGAGCATGAAAAATACATACAGGAGGGTAAAGAACTTGGGACCATGATTGTAATTTTGAACAACCAATGTTTTGCAATGGCAAAAAGACTTTCTTAGTTTATAATAGACGAAATCAAGGCTTAGAAAGAAGAAACAAATTACAAAAAGATGTATTGTAGGGAGTGGCAAAGTCAGGAATGAACTCAGACTAGTGTACTTTTCATTTCACTGTGTACTGTTTTCCCTTGAAACAAATGCATCCTATCTCCAACATTCATATGGGGGGAGGGTTAAAATCTGTAATACTTAAAACTACACAGTCTTACTAAAATAGATTTATAATAATCCCCTGCTATCTGTAATTTTACTTCCCACAGTTTTAGTTACCTGCATTCAACCATGGTCTGAAAAATGTTAACATTTTCTTGACTCTTCCAAGAAAGACCATATTCACATAATTTTTATTATAGTATTATTATAACTATTCTGTTTTTATTATTAGTTATTGTTGTTATGATTAGCATAAATTAAACTTCATCATAAATGTATGTGTAGGGAAAAAAACATGATATATATAAGGTTTGGTGTTATCTGTGGTTTTAGGAATCCACTGGGGGATGTTGGAATAGCATCCCTTAGGGATAAGCAGGGAATACTATACAGAACTCCAATTTATCTATTTGTTGATAAGCTTTGACATGAAAAAAGGGACAACAAAACTGTTTGTGGTATAGATACATAGTAGCAAGAAAAAATAACATAATAAAAAAATTTCAAGATACCTATTCTTCCATGCTCAATGTTTGAAAGAATTAAGATTTTCTTGGTAAGTATCAACATGTTAAAGGTAGTTGAGAATACAATGACTATTTCTCATTAAATGTTCTAAAAAACATACTTTTTGGAAAATAATCTTAAGAAAAACTAAGCAAGTTGACGAACTGGAGAACCAGTATCACATTATTCCTATAGCAGAATAGGCCAAATGGGAATTATTATTAATTTCTCCTAACAATTCATGATTATATAGACATGGACTAGGACTACTAATATGTTAAAATCCAATCATTTGACAATATATAGCTATATGCAAAAGAAAAGATGTGGATAGAGAATGTGTACGATTATTGATATTAATACAAAATACCAAAGGGATAGCCAGTGGGGAGACAAGAACATCTGACACTGAGAAATTCCACATTTGGATTCCCAAGAACTACTTATTCTTTTTCCTGGGAATAATAATTTTCATGAATTAAGTTGATGGAAAGGTTTACTCATTAATCAATGATTTCTAAAAATTTCACATTTTAAAAATACTATTAGGATAAAACTAAAACACAGAACTGGCTTACTCTGCAATATCAAGATATCCACAGGAAGCAGCTGCATGTAGTGGTATCCAGCCTTCATTATCAGGTTGATTGATATTTGCTCCATTTTCTACCAGAAACTTCACCATATCAACATTGTCATCAATGCAGGCCTAAAAACAAAACAGAAAGCATGACTGGAAAAAAATGTGAATCAACACTCCAAATAAAAGATCAATAAAATAAAATTCCCTTTGTAAATTTTATGATATAAATACTTTCTGTATATTAGTTTGCAGCTATCTTATTATATAGCCAATAAGACAATGATACCAACTAAACTATAAGAATCCTTGCTTAGACACACATATAATACTGCTGTATGTGACCACTCACTCTATGGTAACCCAGTTAGGGAAAAAAAAAAAAACGACAACATACTAAATGAAAACAATCAAAATATTATAATTATCAATAATATTCTTCATAGCAGTGGTTCCCAAAATATGATCTGCTGTTGGTTGGGAGGCCCAAAAACCTTTCAGGGAGTGAACAAGACCGAAACTATGTTCAAAAGAACTTTGTTGATGTGCACTGGAGGATACAAAAGCCACACTGATAAAACTGTATGTGCCTTAGCAAAAAACAATGAAACAACCACCTCTATTAATAGTCACTGTATTGACCACTACACATCCACTGTTTTTTTAAAGCTCTTTTTACTTATGAATGTCCTTGACAACGTTGTGAAAATTATAAATTTTATTAACTCTTTACCTTTGAACACCTTTTTAATACCCTATGGGAAAGATGGGAAGTATGCATTAAAGTACTTTCTTGAGGAAAAGCATTTATACCAATGAGTTGCAAACTGAACAATCATTTTTGCAGAAAATATTGTTTTTAGTTAAATGAGAAACTAAGTCTACCTTTGTTCTCACAGATATTTTCTTGAATATGAACAAAATGAACCTGTAACTTCAAGAAAAGCAACTGATATCAATATGCAACATGTAACAGCATATATTTGTTACCAATGAGAAATTCAAGTGCAAGAGAAAATGAATGAGCCATTTTAATTTTAAAATGTTACTGATGTAAAATAAGAAATTATTGTTATTTTTAAATGAATTAATAAATATTTTAATTCCTTAGCATTAATTTGTAATACTGTAAATATTAACACATATAACCTACAAAAAACAAAAACTAATTGGGATCCTCAGTAATCCTTAAGATTCATTATTGTAATAAAGAGGTCCTGAGATGAAAAAAAATCACTAGGCTCCAGCCACAGTGGGCACCTTTCTATTGCTTGACCAGGTATCTCAGGGCCTTGTACTTGCTTTTTTTTCTGTCAGAAATCAACTTCTCCAAACACAGGCATGCTGATTCTTTCCATTGCACAAGTGTCAATGTAGGTGTTTCTTCCTCATAAAGGACATTCTGAACACTTTTTAAAAAATAATTTCACTATTCTATCACATTTTCAATAATACCAATATCCACAATTACCTAACTTATATTTGTTTTCCATCTCTGCTACAATGTAAGTTCCACAGAAAAGGAACCTTGTTTATCTTGCTCATCACCAGAGATATAAACCTAGACCAGAGCTTGGCATACAGAAAGTTATTTCTAAATATGTATTTTTCAAATGTGTTCTGATTATTCTAATTTATGTATACTCCATCCAATCAATTTGACTTCTTTGCTCTTCTGTGTTATACTCCATGCCTTTCAGCTTTGAAATCATTCATTTTCACTCATGAATTGTCTGCTTCACAAGACAAAACATACACAAATTCTTCCATCCTTCAAGGCCTAGCACAAATGTCACCTTATCTGTCCATCCTAGGGATTAGACCAAGGGACTCACATATATGCTAAGCAAGCACTCTACTGAGCTACACCTTCCAGTCCAAAATATATTTTATTTTAAAAGCTTTCTTTTTTTTTTCTTTTTAATTTTTTATTGTGGGTTGTTCAAAACATTACAAATTTCTTGACATATCATATTCCACACTTTGATTCAAGTGGGTTATAAACTCCCACCTTCACCCCATACACAGATTGCAGAATCACATCAGTTACACATCCATTGATTTACATATTGCCATACTAGTGTCTGTTGTGCTCCGCTGCCTTTCCCATCATCCACCCTCCCCCCTCCCCACCTCTCCCCTCCCCTCCCCTCCTCTCTCTCTACCCCCTCCACTGTATAACCCTGAGGGTCTCCTTCCATTTCCATGCAATTTCCCTTCTCTCTCCCTTTCCCTCCCACCTCTCATCCCTGTTAAATGTTAATCTTCTTCTCCTGCTCTTCGTCCCTACTCTGATCTTAGTTACTCTCCTTATATCAAAGAAGATATTTGGCATTTGTTTTTTAGGGATTGGCTAGCTTCACTTAGCATAATCTGCTCTAATGCCATCCATTTCCCCGTAAATTCTATGATTTTGTCATTTTTTAATGCAGAGTAATACTCCATTGTGCATAAATGCCACATTTTTTTTATCCATTCGTCTATTGAAGGGCATCTAGGGTGGTTCCACAGTCTTGCTATTGTGAACTGTGCTGCTATGAACATCGATGTAGCAGTGTCCCTATAGCATGCTCTTTTTAGGTCTTTAGGGAATAGACCAAGAAGGGGAATAGCTGGGTCAAATGGTGGCTCCATTCCCAGCTTTCCAAGAAATCTCCATACTGCTTTCCAAATTGGCTGCACCAATCTGCAGTCCCACCAGCAATGTACAAGTGTACCTTTTTCCCCACATCCTCGCCAGCACTTGTTGTTGTTTGACTTCATAATGGCTGCCAATCTTACTGGAGTGAGATGGTATCTTACGGTGGTTTTGATTTGCATTTCTCTGACAGCTACAGATGGTGAGCATTTTTTCATGTACTTGTTGATTGACTGTATGTCCTCCTCTGAGAAGTGTCTGTTCAGGTCCTTGGCCCATTTGTTGATTGGGTTGTTTGTTCTCTTATTGTCTAATTTTTTCAGTTCTTTGTATACTCTGGATATTAGGGCTCTATCTGAAGTGTGAGGAGTAAAGATTTGTTCCCAGGATGTAGGCTCCCTATTTACCTCTCTTATTGTTTCTTTTGCTGAGAAAAAAATCTTTTTAGTTTGAGTAAGTCCCATTTGTTGATTCTAGTTATTAACTTTTGTGCTATGGGTGTCCTATTGAGGAATTTGGAGCCTGACCCCACAGTATGTAGATCGTAGCCAACTTTTTCTTCTATCAGACGGCGTGTCTCTGATTTGATATCAAGCTCCTTGATCCATTTTGAATTCACTTTTGTGCATGGCGAGAGAAAGGGATTCAGTTTCATTTTGTTGCATATGGATTTCCAGTTTTCCCAGCACCATTTGTTGAAGATGCTATCCTTCCTCCATTGCATGCTTTTAGCCCCTTTATCAAATATAAGATAGTTGTAGTTTTGTGGATTGGTTTCTGTGTCCTCTATTCTGTACCATTGGTCCACCCGCCTGTTTTGGTACCAGGACCATGCTGTTTTTGTTACTATTGCTCTGTAGTATAGTTTGAAGTCTGGTATCGCTATACCGCCTGATTCACACTTCTTGCTTAGCATTGTTTTTGCTATTCTGGGTCTTTTATTTTTCCATATGAATTTCATGATTGCTTTCTCTATTTCTACAAGAAATGCCGTTGGGATTTTGATTGGCATTGCATTAAACCTATACAGAACTTTTGGTAATATCGCCATTTTGATGATGTTAGTTCTGCCTATCCATGAACAGGGTATATTTTCCCATCTTCTAAGATCTTCTTCTATTTCTCTCTTTAGGGTTCTGTAGTTTTCATTGTATAAGTCTTTCACCTCTTTTGTTAGGTTGATTCCCAAGTATTTTATTTTTTTTGAAGATATTTTGAATGGAGTGGCTGTCCTCACTTCCATTTCAGAGGATTTGTCGCTGATATACAGGAATGCCTTTGATTTATGCGTGTTGATTTTATATCCTGCCACTTTGATGAATTCATTTATTAGCTCTAATAGTTTCTTTGTAGAGCCTTTTGGGTCTGCTAGGTATAGAATCATATCATCTGCAAATAGTGATAATTTAAGTTCTTCTTTTCCTATTTTTATGCCTTTAATTTCTTTCGTCTGTCTAATTGCTCTGGCCAGTGTTTCGAGAACTATGTTGAACAGAAGTGGAGAGAGAGGGCATCCCTGTCTTGTTCCAGATTTTAGAGGGAATGCCTTCAGTTTTTCTCCATTCAGAATGATGCTAGCCTGAGGCTTAGCATAGATTGCTTTTACAATATTGAGGTATGTTCCTGTTATCCCTAGTTTTTCTAGAGTTTTGAACATAAAGGGATGCTGTACTTTGTCGAATGCTTTTTCCGCATCTATCGAGATGATCATATGGTTCTTATTTTTAAGTCTATTGATGTGGTGAATAACATTTATTGATTTCCGTATATTGAACCAGCCTTGCATCCCAGGGATGAATCCTACTTGATCATGGTGCACAATTTTTTTGATATGTTTTTGTATCCGATTCGCCAGAATTTTATTGAGGATTTTTGCATCTAGGTTCATTAGAGATATTGGTCTGTAGTTTTCTTTCTTTGAAGTGTCTTTGTCTGGTTTAGGTATCAGGGTGATGTTGGCCTCATAGAATGAATTTGGAAGTTCTCCCTCCTTTTCTATTTCCTGAAGTAGCTTGAAAAGTATTGGTATTAGTTCTTCTTTAAAGGTTTTGTAAAATTCTGCTGTATACCCATCCGGTCCTGGGCTTTTCTTAGTTGGTAGTGTTTTGATGGTTTCTTCTATTTCCTCAATTGATATTGGTCTGTTTAGGTTGTCTATATCCTCCTGACTCAATCTGGGCAGATCATATGACTTAAGAAATTTATCTATGCCTTCACTATCTTCTAATTTATTGGAGTATAAGGATTCAAAATAGTTTTTGATTATCTTCTGTATTTCTTAAGTGTCTGTTGTGATATTGCCTTTTTCATCCCGTATGCTAGTAATTTGAGTTCTCTCTCTTCTTCTCTTCGCTAGCATGGCTAAGGGTCTGTCGATTTTGTTTATTTTTTCAAAGAACCAACTTTTAGTTTTGTCAATTTTTTCAATTGTTTCTTTTGTTTCGATTTCATTAATTTCAGCTCTGATTTTAATTATTTCTTGCCTTCTACT